GGGCCCAGGCATAAGCAAAGCTCCTCTGACAGTTCCTCAGTGCTGTTCCAAGCAGTGTCAGGAAGCCGCTGAAGCCCTGAGGGCTGGTTCTTGTCTTCCAGGTGAAGGCGGGAGAAGCTGGGGGTGGGAGAATTGCCTCCATTAAGCAAGGCAAGAAGCGAGCTGAGGAAGGTTGAAGAGAATTTGGTGATTACCCTGATGGTTCCAGCTCCGTCCCAGCGGCGGGGAGCTGGGGATGATGTGGCCCATGGGCCGTGGGAGGAGTGCCCAGCGCGGGTGCTGTCACGCTGGGCTGGGCCTGAGGAAGGCGGCCTCTCTGAGCACTGCTGCTCTGCTGCTGAGAACACAGGAAGCGCGTCCAGAGCTGCATGTCCTCCCACAGGCCCAGGTGTTCAAAATTCACACACACAACACCGTCCACACACACTCACGCAGACACACACATTCACACACACATCTGCACACAACACACATGCACAGCATACCACACACACATACACACTCACATGTGTAAATCTACCCCATATATACACCTCACACACACATACTTCCACACACGTATACACACTCTACACACACACACTCTTACATCCATACTCACATGCATCTTTTTTGTTTCACAGGAAAGAGAAAGATCACATTTTGGGGTGAATGAAACTCCTCCCTTGCCTGGTCCAATTCTCTCATCCTACGTGTGACGAAAAGCAGCAGTGAGCAGGGAAAAGGCGTGTGAGAAGTCCCCCCTTGGTTCTGGTCAACTCTCCTTAGCTCTAGAAAGTATATTAGAAGGATTCTTTTTGTGTGGAAAAAAGGTGACTGGTGGTTCCTCTCCTGGTTGGCAAAGAGAAGAGAAGGGGCACTTTTGTCCTCTCTTCCCAAGCGACTTGTCTCCCAAGCGGGGTGATAATCATTCCAGCCCCATGGGTCGCCGCGAGGATTAACCAAGATGCTTCACGTTGAGGGACCAAGGCTGTTTCCGGCACTAAGTGCTCTAGAACAATATCATCACCCCCAGTCACCGACAGAGCAGGGGCTTCGTGACCTCACTTGACAGACATGTCTCATTGGGGGTGACACTCCAACAGCGGGTTGTGGGACAATGAAAAGTCCGATACACACGTGTACACACACACACACACACACACACACACACACACACACACACACACACACACACACACACACACACACACTCAGTGGTGGATCGTCTGCTGAGCAGTGAATTTGGGTTTCTTCCCAGCAGTTTTTCCTTCCTGCCCTGCCCTTTGTAGGGGTGCTGGGCCCTGTGCTCGTTGCCCTGGAGGAGATTCAGGGTGACAGGGCGAAAGCCTGAGGGCAGGCCCTCTTCCCCTGTAGCTGAGATTGTGCTACTTGTCCTGCAGAAGGTAGGGGAGGACAGGGCTGCCTAGAGGAGAGAATGGGGGCAGAGCAGTAGCCAAGCCTGGGGCCAGACAGAGCATCTTGGGTTGGGGGAACTGCGGGGTCCTCAGCCTATTCACTCTTGGTCCCCCTGGAGTTGGCTGGGTCTCCTGGGGCAGTGGCCTTGGGCACACACCTCGGCGGGCCGGATCCTAGCCTTGAGGTTGTTAGCCCCAGCAGGACTGCAGGGCCTAGGTGCCGGGACCACAGGGTTGGACGCAGGCACATCCGCATGTGCCCACAGTGAGCAGCGGGGAGGGATGGCCTCAGCATCCTGCCAACGCTCTGGCCTTGAGGGTGGGGTAAGGAGCCTCTACAATGCCCAAGTCCAGTGTGATTGATTTATATCAATAAGAGACCGTCTTACAGAGTGAAGAAAGTCAGAAAGAAAAACAGATATTGTATATTAACGCATATATGTGGAACCTAGAAAAATGGTACAGATGAACCAGTTTGCAGGACAGAAATAGAGACGCGGATGTAGAGCACAAACGTACGGACACCAAGGGGGGAAAGTGGCAGGGGGTGGTGGTGGGATGAATTGGGAGATTGGGATTGACATATATACACTAATATGTATAAAATACATAACTAATAAGAACCTGCTGTGTAAAAAAAAATAAATTAAATTCAAAAATAAAATAAGCATAATGTTTCCTGCACAACCAAGTTTGTGCAATAAGACTCGGAGTAGCACATGTAAACACACATCTGCGTACACGTGCGGCAACTCTTTTAGTTTATGGGATTTGGTGGGGGGAGGTTACGGTTGGTGAAACCAGTTTCCAAACGTTCCCCCTTTTTGGTGACGAGCACAATTTGTGGCAGGTGTGCCAAAAGAACCACACTAATACTTATACACTGAGTTAAGATTTCTGTTACTCTCCGTCTTTGAACCGAACAAACTTGATCTCCCAATTATACAAAATTAATTTCAATGAATTAAGCATGTGACAGCATTCTACCTTAGAATATCCATTACCCAGAAGAAAGAAGTACAGAAGTGTTTTCTAGAAAAGCAGATAGTAGTGACTCTTAGGGCCAAGGGAGAAGGTTGTGACTGGGAAGGGGTGTGGGGTGTGAGGCTTCTGGGAAAGCAAGGTTCTATCTTGAGTCCCGGGAGGTACTTAAAAGGTGTCGCCTTATAAGTCATCAAGGAGACATATACCTACTGCCTCCTGGTGGTCCTTCTGCCACCCTGCACATTCTCCAAAGTGGGACGTGACCCAGGTGAAGCTTTGTTCTTTCTCCCAAGCCCTTAGTATCTCCCAACAGAGCCTGAAGTCAAGAAGGGGAAAGCCACAAGGCATAGCATCAGGGGAAGGAGTGAAGGGAAGGGTTCTCTGAGCTTCTCTGGCCGCCCATGGTGCAATGCTTTGCTTGAGTCCAGACCCCACCCACTTTGCTGCCTGGCAGGCTACTCCTTGGTCCTGCCGGATGCAGGCTTGGCCTCTCCCTGGGCCAGTGAGGGTGGATGCCTGTGGTCTTTGTTGGCTTCCTTTCTGTCAGGCTGGACAAGATGTCCCAAGCTCATCTTGCACATTTCCTTCCCCAGACCTACAATCAAAGGACCCCTGATTCCTTCAGTAGGAAATAATATTGAGAGACCATAATCTGGAGGGTAGGAGTATACATTGCTACTGAGTTTGTTTGTTTGTTTTGGTTTCTGACATGATAAGCAGTGCGGTTCATTAGTTTCCGTTTTCTTGCATCTTTTAGAGATCACTGTGTTTTAGTTTTCTTTTTTCACTCTTGTTTTTTTAAAAAAATGTGAAATGTTTACATTTTCTAGTCAAAACTATAAAACAAGATACATTCAGAAAAGATGTCTCACTTTTTTTTCCTCCCTCCTGTTCTATCCCTTCCCCTATAGGTAAGCATTTTTAATTAGTGTTAGGTTTATTCTTCTGTTGTTTATATTTGAAAATGCAAGCAAGTATGTATATTCTTTATCATTTATACACACACATATATCTGCACAAAGGTAACATTATACATTTTCTTCTACACTTCTGAGCATGTTTCTCATATCCATACACAACTGAAGACTGGATGAGAGAGAAGCAAAGAATTGTTGTCTTGGAATTGACTTCATTGTATTACATAATGTTTTCACATCGCTCCAGGCCACAGGGTCCTGTGGGAGAGGAGGCAGAAAGGGGTGTCTGAATGGGGGTGGGGGGGGGGCTCTAGGACCACCATTACCACTTCAACCGAGCAGCCACACGTCTACATATTTAGCATCCATATCAAATTTGGTCTGAAAATGGTTCCTGCCACCAGAAGAAAAATTCTAAGAGAAAATGTCCACAATTATCAACCCAAACCCACTGATTCTAGCCTCTGAGAAAGTTGCTTGGAGAGCACAGGCTTCATGTTAACTTTACTATGCTAGGTTAGTCTTACTGTCTGGCATTGCCTAAACTTGATTCCCAAGAAAACTTTGTGGGAAGAAATTCTTCATCCACTCAACAGTAGAGAAAAGGACCCAATAAATCAGTTTGTCCACATCTTCATTTGAGGGAACCCATTATTCACATTTATGAAAGATCTTTAAGGAGACAAGAAAATACAGAGGAAATTAAAGAGGCTGCTAGAGTTTGAAGCAAACTATCATTTTGCCTTAAGTATATAAAACTAAGGTCCTTTGTAGATGGGGTATGAAATTAGCTCAAGAAATGGCAGCCCCAGCGAAAGACAGGTATGCAGGCTGACTTTCTTTCGCTGTTCGCCATACCCTTTCTGCCACCTGGAAAAACCACTCTTGATTGTGAAAGTGGACAGGCAGCAGGCACAAAGTCCTTGTGTACACAGACATAAACCATATATGTGTCTAGGCCTCACCGGACACATCATGACTGTACCCCTGGGGCCTGGCACAATGCCTGGTGTATAGTAGGTGCTCAGAATAGTTGAATGAACAAACATATTACACTCCATCCTCATGACCTAAATGGAAATGAGTGAGGAACTTGGCTCATCACTGTTAAAAGGTTGCTTTAGGGGCTGAATTGTGTCTCCCCCAAATCTCATGTTGAAGCCCTGACCCCCAGGACCTCAGAATGTGACTATATTTGGAGACGGGGTCTCTAACGAGGCGATTAAGGTAAAATGAGGTCATATGGGAGGGCCTTAATCCCACAGGACTGGTGTCCTTATAAGGAGAGATTAGGACAGAGACACGTGGGCACACAGAGGAAAGGCCAAATAAGGACATAGGGGGAAGGTGGCCATCTGCAAGCCAAGGAGAAAGGTCTCAGGTGAAACCAGACCTGCTGACACCTTCATCTTGGGCTTCTAGCCTCCAGAATTATGAAAAAATAAATTTCTGCTGTTTTGTTACGGCAGCCTTAGCAAACTCATACAATTGCCAATCTCTCTCCAGACCTACTACAGATGCAATGTCAAAGTAACATCTTGGATGGCTTGCCATTCCCATTCCCACATCATATAAGCCAGAAAGGAATTGTTCTGAGTGTGTGTTTCATGATGCTTTGAAATCTAAAGTGCATCTATGGGACCAGCTCAGCTGTAAGAAAGCCCTTTATGAGGTCATCATCCCAGGCTTGCCAGATCTCTGCAGATGGAGACACTCAAGCTTTGAAAAACACTTGAAGAGCTACCATGCCTCACTTTGCAAAACCTCTTTTAAGAAACATTATTATCAGAAATCTATTCAATAGCATGAAGAGGAAGCAATGTCTCCAGTATTTGAAAACCCTGAGAACACTGCAATATGATGGGTTTACAACTGTATATTTTGGGGAAACTGATATCCCTGAGAGTCTTGTAACAGGGGAAGATTTTAGTGATGGCTATTTCATGCCAACTCCAACTTGGTGTATTGTGCATGCCGGTGGTAGTCAAGGATGGATGCCTTGGAAATATCGGATGTTCCTAAGGGATGAGTTATGCATCAAACAAGAAGACAGCCTCTTCTCTGAGTTCTGTGATGTGGCAAAGAAGACCTACGGGAAGTGCACCATTGTGGTCAAAGAGAGAAGGCAGCAGGATGAGATGAAGCCAAAGGAAGACAAAGAATCCGAGGCCCAGGCCCATGTCCCATCAGTCATTAACTTAACGAACATCACATGCTGTCCTGAGGTGGCCAAGTCCTATGGCCATAAACTACTCTCTCTGCCTTCCCCTTACAGTTATCTGAACCCTCTAGACTCAGCCTGGTCTTCTCTGAAATGGTTTATCATCAATAACAGAAAGGAGTTTTGCTTGCAGTCCACTGATGGTGTCTATTCTTACCAGTATATACTCTTCAGTGATTTAATTAGCAAAGGGATTGAAAGGATAAACCCAAGCAAATGGAGAACACTAACTAACAAAGTACAAAGATGGGAAAACTACTATCTTGGTAAATTTTCTTAAGTGCGATTCCTCTAACAAACAGCAGGGCTGTGCTGTGGGCATGATCTTTACCAATTCTGTTGGGTTTGATTCTGGACCACTGCAGCCAAAGATACTCCAACAATGACCTCCACAGGGATGCTGTGAGGACTGCTTCCTTAGGGCATTGGCAAAGTGCTTATGGTTTGCTGAAGGTTTCATTAAATCTTGTTGGTAAATTAGTGATCTTGACTTTCATCTGGTTAAGGCCACTCTGAGGGCTATTATGTCAGTGAGAGGATGAGAGTTAACCGAGCCCAAAGGAGCTTGGAAGTGAGCAGAGATGAACAGAGCTAAAGGTTGTGTGAGGGAAAAAAGAGAACCAAGAGCGTTGGTTCTGAAATTAACTAGTGTGCCTACCAGTTTCAGTCCACCAAAATAATCCACAGGGAGCCGGCTTGCCATCAACAGATGTGGTCCAGATGGTGGCTGAATAGGCTCTTACCCTTCCATTGCTTGAAAGCAAGGAGGCAGAGGGTGAGCAAGAGACATCCAAGGAGGTGAAACCCCATCCAGATCCTCCAGGCAAGTTGGTGGTCCCCATAAGGAACCTGGAAAGCTATGACAGTGATTGGTTCAAGTTGGACTTGGTGGGTGAACAGGTGACGTAAACAGGAGGGTCTACAGAACCCATTTATCCAATCCGTCTCCCATTCCAACTCCAAGAATCCCAACGGGAGGTCACTAGCCTGTCATGCAGTTGTATCTCGGGGCCCTGGTTGCTGAGCCACCTGTGGCTGGTACAACAGCACCCTAAAGTCTGGGGCTGCTGCTAATTGTGGCTGTAAGGATTTGTGGTGGTATTTTTCACTTTTATTTTTTAAAAAAGCCCTGCCTCCTATTAAACATATCACAAAATTCACTCTTGTTTATGTATGTTCAGGCAGTAATTTTATAGTAGAAGTAACTATTCTGGGATATGTCAAAAACAACGTCTGAAAATTGCTACCAACTCCCAACAGACTTGCCTATATATCAGATGGTGAGGCCAGGTTCCCGCTAGCCAAGCACAGAAAAATCAGATTCTCTGCTTGTCTTCTGCCCTAATTCCTTCCTGAAACTCCCTGGATTATTTAGAAACACTTTGTCAGAAAACAGATGTTCAGTGCTTTTCAGCAACTAAGCGGTGGACTTCTGCAGCATCCTGTTATTATGCATTTTATCTGCAGATGAATCACACTTACCACCTCCAACCACTGGGAACCGGACACTCTCAGCTGCACCTCCCACTTTACAGCCGACCGTGCAGTATGAGTTTCTTGTGGCTGCTGTGACAACTACTACACACTTGGTGCATTAAACCAACAAAAACATCCTCTGAAATCAGTTCCGCTGAGCCAAAATCAAGGTGTCAGCAGGGCCACGCTCCCTCCACAGGCTCTAAGGGAGAATCCATTCCTGGCCTCTTGTGGCTTCTGGGTGGCTGCCCGCCTTCCTTGGCTTGTGGCCACATCACTCCAATTTCTGCTTCTGTGGCCACATTACTGTCTCCTCTTCTGTGTCAAATCTCCCTCTGCCTCCCTCTTATAAGGAGATGTGTGACTGCATTTAGGTCCCATACAGATAATCCAGAATCATCTCACCATCTCAAAATCCTTAATTTAATCACACACGCAAAGATTCTTTTTCCATATAGGGTAACATTCACAGGTTCCAGAGATTGAGACCTGGATACATTTAGGGACCACTATTCAGCTGAACACAGGTTCTAAAGAAGGTTTTCTTCTGCCAGCTGAAATACTGCATTTCCCACTGAAATACTGCATTTCCCACCACATTTCCCAGGGGTAACACAGTTACCCCTGGTGAAACGGCTCTCACTGTGTGGTACTTTTATTTTTAAACCTTTTATTTATTTTATTAAAAAATTTTTAAAAATTTTTTGGCCATGCTTCACGGCATGAGGGACCTTAGTTCCCCAACCAGGGATCGAACCTGCACCCCCCTGCCATGAAAGCGGGGAGTCTTAACCACTGGACCGCCAGGGAGGTCCACTGCGTGGTACTTTTGTATGGTTTTTTTTGCTACCTGTTTCATGTATGTTTTAGAATTTATGTTTCTTAAGGGTAAGTAACAGGACTCAGACCTCCTTGGTGACTTCAGTGTCGGTGGCCTGGGTTTGGGATGTGAGTGCGTTTTGCCCCTATGTCGCATTTATCTCACACCTGTCCAGAGTTCTGTAGTGACAACCACTAACAGTTATACACACTTAACTCACTTAATCCTCACAACAGTCTGCGATGTAGGAACTACCACTGTCTCCATTTCTCAGAAGGGTAAACCGAGGCACAGAGAGATACGTAACTTGCTCCAGTGCGGAAGAGCTGAGGTTCAAATCCAGAGTTCCCAGGTAGAATTGTTATTCACACAGCCTCTCTACTAACGAGCAGCTCAGTTCACCCTCAAAACAACCTCTCAGGTAGGTCCTATCACTTTCCCATTTTACAGATGAGGAGACTGCGACACTCAGGCCAGTCAGACTCTAAGCCCGTGTGCCCAGCCGCCATGCTTGGCTTGGTTATTGAAACATGGTGTAAGGCTTGCCTCTGACATCAGACAATCAGCTGGCAAAGTGGCTGCCTCCAACTGGACACAACAAGACATACTTCAGCACAATATCGAGCTAGAGGCAGGTGCTTTTTAAAGATACACTATTTTGCAGTGAGAAAAAAAATGGGAGGTTTTTGGGTTATCAGATGAACAAGAAAGACCAACAGGAGCTATTTTTCTTGGAAAACCGAGACAATCTAATAAAACGAGTTTAGGATTGTATTCCTTCGAGGCCTTGTTCAAACATTAGAAAGCAAGTAGGGAAAAAGAGAACATCAGTATTACCAGAGATCAAAGGGCCACGGGTAATGTGCAATTGAGTTACATAATATTGTACTCATAATTAAGAAATGCTGCTTTATGCCAAGCATGGAAACTTCCAGGAGAAAATAGTGGAAAGTACACGGGGTTTTGGGAATCGGATGGATCTCCTTAGAATCGCAAGTTTCCAGCTTGTTAACTATGAGACTTTGGACAAGTTACTTCCCTGAGGCTCAATGAACTCATTCGTAAACTAGAGTTGAAGGCTTTAAGCACTTAGCACACACCAAGCCACTACATCATGACCAGCCCCGACTCAGCGCTCAATAAACTGGAGCTCCTGTTATTGCAGTGCAGGCTGGGCTTCCAGCAAGCGCATGCACAGTTAGATTTGCTTCTCATTTCCTTTTCACTCTTTGTGGCAAATTCTTGCTTTTTATCACTGGGTTGTAATCAGAGTAGACACATCTTAAGATGTGTCTTTTGATCAAAGGAAGTTCTTTTCTCTGGCATTTCTTTTAAGACCTTCTGCGATAGGTTAGGGAATTAAGGATAAGAGGTCTCTTCTGGTGGTGTGGACAGCGAGGATGGAGAGTACAGCCTGGAACCTTTTGGGAGCAGCACTTGTATGAAATAAACAGTGGGTGAGGGCTTCCCTCGTGGCGCAGTGGTTGAGAGTCCCCCTGCCGATGCAGGGGACGCGGGTTCGTGCCCCGGTCCAGGAGGATCCCACGTGCTGCGGAGCGGCTGGGCCCGTGAGCCGTGGCCGCTGAGCCTGCGCATCCGGAGCCTGTGCTCCGCAACGGGAGAGGCCACAACAGTGAGAGGCCCGCGTACCGCAAAAAAGAAAAACAAAAAAACAACAACAGTGGGTGACAAGGCCCAGCAGCCCTGCAGGTGTGGACACATCCTCTGGAAGACCCTCCGTGATGTCGGTGGCGCTGACTCCTTCGGAGAGGTTGGCTGAGGGCACATCTCATCCACTTTGGTCCTCATCAGGACCAACAACCACATGCCCACTCCCTTCCTGTGGGCCAGGCTCCCCCTAAGGAGGTGGGGCACTGGAAAATGTGCTGCCCTGGAAAAAGCCCAGAGGGAAATAGGCTAATGGAGCTGAGTGTCCACTGGCTCAGGCCTTGACCACTCAAGGAAGGTCCAGGCTCAACTGAGTTGATAGAGCTGCACCTGGCCAATCAGGGGACCGAGTTGCCCCCCCCATACCCGCAGGTGGTACACACTCTTTCCATTTGTGATCGTTTTACATGTACAGAACATTTTTATATACTTGACCTCGTTCAGTTTAGACAACCACCCTGTACATAGGCAGGGCAGTGATCGTTAAGCTCGTTTTACAAATGAAGACAAAGTCGGGTGGTAACTGACTCACCTGGAGGGATGCCCACCTGTAGTGACAGGAGGGTCAGGACTAGAATCCACGTCTTCCTATCAGCAAGTCCTCACACCCCTCTCTAGCTGGTTCTATGGGTCAGTTAGGATTAAGTCAGGCTATGAGTAGTGGAGACCTAACCACAGAGATTTAAACAAAATAGAAGGTACCCTCCCATCCCCCACCAAAACAAGAAATGCTAAGGTGGCAGTTCAGGGCTAATATGGTAGATCCACGATCATAAAGAAGTCAGGGTCTTATCTTTTTCCTCTACTGTCCTAGACTTGGTTCCATCCTCAAAGTCACCTCATAGTCCAAAATGGCTGCTGAAAAAGCCATTGCATTAGCATTCCAGGTAGCAGAGAAGGAGAAAAGGAGGAAGAAGGGCTCATCCTTTTTCTTTTAAGGGGCCTTCCAGGAAGTCTCACACTTAAATCTTCCACTTAAATCTCATTGGCCAGACTTAGTTGCAAGGGAAGCTGGGAAAAGTAGTCTTTATTCTGGGTGGTGATGTGGCCAGCTGAAAATCCCTGCTCCCCTTCCTTTGGGTGTTACCACTCATCCACTCACCAAATATTCGAGCACCTTCTATGTGCCTGTAACGTGTGGCTCGGACAGGGGCCCAAAGAAAGTAAGCTCAGGCCCTGGAGGCAGTCAGGTTGGTGGTGTGGAGGACCTCTCGGTCAGTGAGATTTTGGAGGTGTGGGGAGTGAGGGCTCAGAGTCCAGGGCCTGGCTGGGGAGTCAGGGGCAGAGCGGCAGGAAGAGGTGAAACTGGAGCCGAGGCCAGAGGAAGAGCAGGGACTTCATCACAGGGGGTAGAAGGTGAAGTGTGCCCAGCCTACCCACCTCCCAGGGCACGGGGTATGTGAGTGCACGCGCGCACGTGTGCGTGCAAGTGTGCGTGTGGCGGGCAGGGAGCAGTGTGAGTGGAATGAAAGGAAGAATGCAAGTGTGGAAGGGACAGGATGGAAAAAGAAAACAACGTGTTGTAGGAGAAGGAGCTTGGGCTATTCTAGAAGGAAAGGAAAGACCCTGAAGGGTGTGGTGCAGGACGATGGGTTAGGGTTTTCAGGTTAGGGTGGGAAAGCCTACGTTTTCCCACCAAGGAGTCCAGCTCCTGGTTAAAAACCCATGTGTGGTTTTCCAGGCCCGACCGCAGGCAGTTACAAAGGTGTCACCCAGCAGGGCTCATGGGGGCAAAAGCCACCCTCCCCATAGCAGACTTGGTGACAGCCAGGGCCCTGCCGTCTCTGAAGGGAGCTGTAGTCCACGACTCAGGCCCCTGACCTGGAGGGAGAGGGGAGAGGGGACTGCAGGCCCCAGGTCCTCGGGCTCTGCCCACTGCACCCAGCATCCCTCTCATGCTCAGAGCAGAAGGACTTGCCTCAAGCTAAAGGGGAAACCGAGGCCTTTACCCAGCACAGCTTCCCTGGGTATCCCCTCGCGCTGCATGAAGACCAGGGCCTTCAGTGCCCGGCCCCCAGATGCCACCACCTCCAGCCCGGCCAGGTTCCCTTCCCTTTTCCTCTCGCATCTCCTTCAGCCTGTGATCATGCTCAAGCTTACGCCTTCTGGAAAAACCTTTCCCTCAACCCTGCCTTCCCCTCAGGCTACCAATGTCTCTGTCCCCACCTTTGAGTAATTAACGTATTGCTCAGACAAAAATTTCTTTCCTGACTTTGCAGACCACACACACACACTCTTGAAATTAGGATGCAAACGGCACTGTTTCTATTTCCTCATACCCTCCCCACTTCCCACAGCCTGGCCTCTGTCCTCATCGTGTCGTCTTGAAGACTTGATGACCCACGACTTGGAAGAACAAGAATGCCTGCCCACCTGCCCTGTCCTTGCACGGGAGTGAAAAGTACAGGCCCAGAGCTGAACTGCAAGGTCCACATCCTGTCTCTGCCTCTTGCCAGCTGGGGAACCTTAGACAGAGAAGTTAACCTCTCTGTGCCTCAGCTTCCTTATTGTGAGACGGGGACGGTGACACATGTTGGGGGTAATAGATGTAAAGCAGGAGGAACAGTTAAGGGCTAAACAAGGATTCGCAGCTACGTTCTCTCCCCTGCTCCCCAGCCTACTGGCTCCAGATGTTCCTTCCCAGCCCGGCTTCTGGCTCATCTCCCTCTGCCCATCGTTTAAGGCTCCAAAGGAGATTCAAGGACCACCTCATCGGCATCCCCTTGGGGTTTTCAAATTTGTTCACAGATTCCTGGTCTCTCCCGCATGGCTTTTGATGCCGTGGGGCTGGGGCCCAGCCCAGGAATCTGCACTTTAAACATGTGCACTCACATTTAAGAACCCAGCCTCAATCCTCTTTTCCTTCCAGACTCTCCATCACCCGTGGCTTCCCTCCGACAAGGACGAGACCTGTGGCATCACAGCACAGCCGGGGATCTCAAGTCGGCTGAGTCGCAGTACTGTGCATGCACAGGCCCAGCCCCTGCAGGAGGCTGGGAAGGTTGCATCCAGGCAGGTGTGCTTCCCTGAGATGAGAATTTGGTGACAGACGGGCAAGAGATGACCTTTTTTCAAACGCCCCAGATTTTTTGTTTGAAATATTCAGTTCCTGAAATATATTATGTACGTCTCTGCCTTTTTAAGCAAAGTATATAAAGACAGTTTCACCTTTCCTTAATGTCATGATGGGTGGCACTCCTGGTGTGGGCTTGGCGATCATACAGACGAGTTCTCAGGCCTGGTCTGCTGCTCAAAGACCATCTCTCTTGCTCTGAGGTATTTCTGCCGCCAACAGCCTTTCTTCATATCTGATTCTAGTATGTTGTAAGCTCAAAAACCAAAAACGTGTTAGGAACCCATCTAACAAGATGAAATATGATCTGTGTGAGGGATCCTGGGGCTCTCTTGTGCATGGAGGACGTAGATTCCAGTTTACGTTCTTTGAAACATCTTTCAGCTGCCCAGGGACGGTGGTCTTATGGAATCGTTCTCAGTCATGGCCCTGAGAGAGGCTGGGTAGGTGCAGTCAGATGGGGTCCTGGGTGTGGGCTTTACCAATCACTCCATCCACCCACGTGTTCATGCATCCAACCACTTATTTGAAGTCAAGCTACAAATCTACTGACTTCATGTACACAGGGTTGGAATAGTATCAATAACTCCAACTACAGTAAGTCCCCTACATACAAACCTTCAAGTTTCAAACTTTCAAAGATGCAAACATGTATCTGGTTCCAGCAAGGAACCAGAACCTGTGCCATCAACGTCAGGCGTGAGTGAAATTGCAGCTGCCCTCTGTCTCCTATTGCTGATGACCGTTCAGCTCTACCATCTCCCACCTCCTCTCCCTCCTCCAGTCGTAACTCTTCTTGCCTGTTCACTCGATGCCAGCCCCTATATGCCAGCTGTCGTACTGTACTACTGTACTCTTCAAGGTACCGTACTGTAAGATCAAAAATGTTTTCGTGTTTGTTTTTTATGTATCATTTGCGCGAAAAGTATTATAAACCTATTACGGTACAGTACTACAGAGCCGATTGTGTTAGTTGGGTACCTAGGCTAACTTTGTTGGACGTACACACAAGATTGAACTTCCGAACGCACTCTCAGAACAGAACTCATTCGTATGTAGGGGGCTTACTATAGTGATTATCTCCCCCTAGTGGAAGAAGGGAGTATCAGAAAGGTTAACTTAAACCCCAAAACACCGTTTACAGAAAACCTGTGGGCGTGGTCAATGGTTTATTCCTATCCTTAGATGATCTGCTACCGAATTTTCCAAGAAGACGGCAGATGTTCCACAAGTTCCAAAACTGAGTTCTAAATCCCAGAGCCTAGAAACACACCTGTGTTTAAAATAAACCTGAACATCTACTAGATCAGCATAGAGTCTCCGTGAAAAGCCAAGGCCACTCTTCATCCCCTGCCCTGGGATTTACGAAGCATATAGGTGTAAGTACATATGAGGAAAGAGTGCCCAGAGGTAGTGGGTGTGATGTCAGGTGTGCTGGGAGCCCATGATGCCCTCATCCTGCAGAGAGGTGAGGAAGCAGAGGCCGAGGCCCTAGCGCAGGAGCCTAGAGCAGGGTGGGTGGGTCACCCGCCAGGCTGCAGAGTCCACCCTGACAAAGGCAGGAGGCTAGGCCACGGCCCAGGGTCAGCTCTGGACCCAACCTGAGCAGGTCAGGGAAGCGAGGGTGCCAGGCTGCAGAGATCCCAGGGCATCTCACCTCTGCTCTGGTCATCTGTTCCTGCCGCACGGGACCCAGGCCACCGCGAGGCTCCCAGGCAAAGGCCAGAGCAGCATCCTGCAGGGAGGCTGAGGTGCGAGCATGAGGGAAAGTCCCCTTCTATTTTGGGATTTGTAGCTTGTAGAGTCAAAGTCTCCTGTATTTAAAGCTTTGATTCTGTGTAAATTGTTTTCTAAATTGTGATTAGGAGCAGCCAGCAATCACAGTAAAACTTAAGAAAAATATAATTCCCTTTATTCCTCATGCTTAAAATTCCAAGTTCTGCCAACCTGGGCCAGGATGGCATGGGGCGGGGGGGGGGGGGGGGTGGGGGGGGGGGGGCTTGATTCGTAGCATTCGCCCATTTCTGTGGTGTTAATACTCCTGAACACTTGACCGTGGGGTCTCACGAGCCCTGCCGGCCAGCTCCAGTCACGGCCAGATGCTGCAAAGATAATCAAGTGATCTTATCATGTGGCCAGTGGACAAATATTTGTTAATTACTTCCTCCATCCGTCTACTCATCAGACGTTACCTCTGACAGCACCAAAGGCCTTAGATTACACCGGGCAAGAGCTGGAATCCAGAGGAAATGGTTTCCCGGAGCCTGATGGAGAGGTCTGGGGGGAGCTGACAGAGCCCCTCATGAGCGACAGTTGCCTTGCCTCCGGTCACACTCGGGGCTCAGGGCGATGCAAGCATCTACTAACATGCCCTCGCGCAGATTTTCCACGTGGCTGCCTGCAATGAGACCAAACATTCCACCATATTTGTGGCTTTGGTTACTGTTGCCTCATTCCCCATCCGCTCTGGTATCTTGAGAGAAGTGAAAAAACAGGAACCTTTTAATAGAGACCTCAGTCGGTTAGGGGCTGAGTCAAAAGACTTACGGACCCCACTCCTCTCAAATATTACAGTCTGCTGGGCATGTCCCGCCCTTCATCTCATATCAGCAAATCGGAACAAGCAGACTGGTGGGGAGAGAACAAGGCACACCTGAGATCCGCTTTCCTCCTCACAAACAGGCAATTCCTCCTAGACTTGGTACCCACCGGGGCAGGAGGGTCTCATCCCGCACCCCTCCCTACAAGCACCTCACGGGTCAGCAGAGGCACGATGCTCCTGGAGCAGCAAACAGCCCCTCCCCCAACAATGAAAACACAAGAAAGAGCTGAAGTGCTCAGAGGAGAGAAGGAGGAGGAAAGGAGCGTAGGCACTAGGGCAGCAGGTTAGAGGGCTGGAGGGGTGGGTGAGAGACAGCAGGCTGATGCGACAGCTACGGCCCCGTCATCTGTGGAGGTGCACCTGTGATCTGGTATCCACAGCTAGGAGATGCTAGAAATGCAAAATTCCCTCCTCTCACTACACAGAGGGGTGTGTGCGTGTGCGTGTGTGTGTGTGTGTGTGTGTGTGTGAGAGAGAGAGAGAGAGAGAGAGAGAGAGAGAGAGAGAGAGAGAGGGAGGGAGAGGAAGAGAGAGACATACACCTACTTTGGCTTATTCCAAAGACCGGAGACGCCCTCTTTACAAAGGTATTTTATTTCAGTAAACAAAATACTGGTTCTTTTAAAAGCACAGAAAAATTCACATCGTTTTAAGTTAGACTATAGGCTGGGAGTTTATCTTCTGACATACCATTCAATAATTAAATCTTTCATCTCAGCCGGAGTCCACTCAAGCTGACATTTAAATTACAAAATCTAGAAAGGAAGACCAAAGGGAGAAGCATGAAATGTCTCACACAGTAAGAGTGATTGTTTTACGTGCTCAGCATTAACCTTTATGTTCAGCCATTTACACTTAAACAGAAACCACTGAAGCGTATCCATTAAGGAATGAAGTTTTAGCATCACAATTTCCTTTCATCTAAAAATCCCTTTTGTTTAAAGCAAGGCTCCAGGCCAAGCTTTGATAAGCTGCCAGCCTAGGATGGGGACAAGGGCTGCCCTGGTCAGTTCTAGGCTCAGCTGGACAAGCCTCCCCTCCCTACTTCACTGACAGGCCTCTACTGAAGTCTGTGCGAAGGAAAAAGCGCTTAGGGCCTCGCACCTCGTCTTTTCTTTCTCTTTGTGGTTAACACACAAAATGATGACTCTGTGGATCAGAAATCCAATCAGCGTTTCGATGGAAACTGCCTTCCCTCACCTTCTGCAATTCTGAAGTGCTCCCTCTTCCCCCTCTAGTGCCTACTCATGAATTTCAGTCAATAAAACATCTTTTTTTTTTTTTTTTTTTTTTTTAGTTACTCAAGGCAACTATATTCCCCTATGAGTACTGGGGAAAAAAATTGAGTACTGAGTGAAAGTTAGCAACCAAAGCGTTTAATTTGTCTGTATTATCTACTCACTGAACGATGTTACCTACCAGATAACTGTAATTGATACAAGAAAGTGCCTATAAAGATTTACAATAAGGGCATGAGAAAAAAATGCACTGTTAAATTCATATGACTTTGGGGAACCCTTCATAATAATAATTCCATATATTTCTAAGGCATGGCATGATGGTAAGCACTTAGACACACGTCTTGTTTTTTAGGGCAATATGTAACTATTCTATTGTTTTTAAATTATTAAATGATTAAATGAGGGAAAATGCCGGGTCAGAAGTCCCAAGGCTAGTAAACGACAGAGCCTGAAGTGCAACTCAAGGCCTCTCACTCAGCACCGAATCCTCTAATACCTGGATGTCTCAGAGAGCTGAGCTCCTTCATTCAGGACCAGGACACAGTGCGACCGGGAGGGACACACTGGGGTTGAACGTTCGACCTGGGTTCAGTTCTGGTTCTGCTCTTCACCATGTACAGTGGGGGCCACTTTTCAATCTGAATGGACCACACAGGGCCAACAGGAGTGGTCAGTAACATCGCTATATGTGAAACGCTCAGCAAAATGCTAGCCCAGAACAATCATTCAGTATGTTATTACAGTTATTACTCATAAGTATGCTTTTTAGCCTCAACAAGTCTACGAGTATTGCAAGGGAATTCACGTCTACAGAAGTCTGTCTCAGAGTGGACAGAGGTTTTGGAGGTCACCAACCCAGTGGTTCCTACAGTGACCTGCTGCTGAGAAGACAGCATAAGAATCACCTAAAAAGTTTTCAAAAGAACAGATGCCAGACCCAACCACAGGCAGAAAGGAATCTCTCTGAGGCTGGACCCTGGGAATCTGCATTTTAACAAGTACCCCAGGCAAATCCTGATCATTAGCCAAGTTTGGAAACCACTGATCTAGAACTCCCTGCTACCACATTTGCATCCTCTAATTTTTAGAGAAAAGCATAGAACTCAACCTGAGAAGTGGTGAAACTGGGTGAGCACAACAGAATTTAGGAAACTGCTCATTGTCCTAAGTTTGATCTGTAAGGGGGTGTTTAATAACCTCCTGGTGCCTTAACTCAACAAACACATTCTGGGCACCCCCTGCGCTCTGGGACAGGCACTGGGCTACAACAATGAGGAAGACTTTGTGCCCAGTGAGGCGGTCATCGGGAAGGCCCTCTGGCCAGGGGACCGACCAGCAAAGGCCAAGGGGCATGAACGTCTATCGTGGTCAAGGAATGGCCTGCAGCAGCATAGAGAGAGGCAGCAAAGGGGGCAAACGTGACCGGGGTGAGGATACACTGGGAAGGGATTTATATGCCATACCTAGGAGGCATTATCCTAAGGTTAGCGGGGCTTCTTAATCCTCGGTACAGGCAGGGGTCTTAAATGACCTGTGACCCCACTTCCTCCCCACCCCTGTCTGCAATTTTATGTACAATTTAGATGCTTCTAGTATGTGAGCTTCTGCAGGGAGAAGGTCTACAACTGTCATGAAATTCTCAAGAGTCCTGTGACCCAAATCCTGTTAAGCACCCTTGCTCCCAACGAGGGGGAACCAGCGCAGGCTGAGAGCGGAGGCGTGTCCTGCGGCTCACCAGCAGACGGGGCTCGAGGGTCAGGACCTGCGCCCCGCACCCTATACACAGCTGTTCTACCTCCTGTGACAGGTGGGGCTCCGCGCTCGCCCACAGCCTTCAGACCGAGGGATCCGGGATTCTCTGAACTACCACGTGCACGGACAGGCCCGCCCTGCCCCACTGTGCAGTCTGCATTTGCAAAGTCCCAGTACCTGTGACTTCCCTTTAGTTACCCTTCTTCTCTGACTGCTGCTTCTTTTCAGCTTCCAGTTTTTGCCGCTTTGCTTCCAACTTCTTCCTTTGGTATACTTTGGCTCCGGCAAACGCCAGGCAGAGAATTAATGTTTTCGCTGCCAAGATATACAGCAGCAGGGGCACGTGTTCAAGAACCTTAAAGAGGAAAGAAACTATCCTAGATGATCTATAATTGATAAGGAAGGTTTCTCTCATGTTCCTTCATTCAACACACATCTCCTGTGCACCTATTATGCACCAGGCACTACACTAGATGCTAGAGCTTCACTGATGTAGGACAGACGAGGTCCCTGTCCCCGTGTCACTGACAGTCTAGTTTTAGGTGCCCTTCATCACTCCCTTGTTGCTGGCTTCACAGAGAGGACCACCAGTGGCCTGCAGACGTCATAACTCTGCTCCCTCACAACCTGACCTTGCACTCTGCCGATCACCTGGCCCCCTGCGTCTGAGGCAGCAGCTCGGTCCAGCGCGAGAAGCCGGAGCCAGGGGATTGGTCCCAGCCCAGCTCTGCCACGGACTGACCCACTGACAGACCGTGCGACCTGGGTCAGTCACTCGACTTTCCTGAGCTTCTGCCTCTTCACCTGCAAAGGGAGGCTGGACCAAAACTTCCTTCTGAATTCTCCACCCTTATAGGATGCTGTGATTTTCTCTTGGTTCCAGCTACGCATTAGCACTGGTATTTGAAGATAAAATAAATATATAAATAAAATACAATAAAACTTTAAAACTTAGCTACTTGTTTATTGTTCCTATAATTTCCTGTCGGAGGGAAGTTTTAACCCATTGGCTAGAATGAAGTCTGGGGAATAACTAGGGATTGGAATTACTCACTTTTTGCACCAGCAGGCTTTATTATGAAATTCTGTATATCACAAGTATCTCAAGGCAAATACTATACTAGTTTTGTAAACATGATTAGTATGACCTGAGTGATAATTATGAGCTTTCTGTGTGATTAAAAATTCCTTCCCAAATAAAGTGAAAAGGTATGCCTTCATTGAGAGATCATTATTCTAGAGGACTAGGTAGGATTTAGTCCAATGAAACCATCACGTTAAATGCCAAACATCACTTATTATACGCAGCACGAGTATAATGAGACTCTGCGATGGACAGTGCATTGGTCCCTCCCTCCAATGGTTTAACTAAAGCTCATCTGAAACTAGTGAAACCTTTAGCTGAGAACAGTATGCTCGCAGACGTGAAGGGCTAGAAAGGATTTTAAAGACGACTTGGTCTACACCTTGTTCTACAAACGAGGAAAGTAAAGCTCAGGGCAGTTGAGAGGCCCATCCACGTTACACGGCTAATTCATGAGGAGGCCAGAGTTGGAACAGAACATTCCAACCCAGACTAAAAATGTTACAACAGTGAAACCTTTTATCCTGACAAGCAGAAGCACCTTAGAATACTGATTTGGTGTCCAGGTCCTTTCTGCCTCAGACCTATGGCTAATCTCCCCGACCTCCCCTCAGTAACCCTCTAACTCATCTACTTTCTTGAAGGTTCACATTTTAGGGACGAGGATTGGCTCTATGTTTATAAGCCAGCTAAGAAAGAAAAGGTTGCTAAATTGCACCTCCCTGGAGGCAAAGACCACCAGTTTGGAGATATAAACTTCTTTTTACGTCCACTAGGACTTTCCAGGCTAACCAAATCCTGGCTTACTCTGGCACAAGTTACCCTCTTCCAATTCTCTCAATCTCTATGGGTGAGCCTCCGGAGTCCTGTTATAACCAAGCCCCCATCACAGCCCATGGTTCCCGTGACCTAAACCCAAAGCTTAGCTGTGGCAGTTACAGGAATGTACATCATTGCAACCAGAAGTTAGAAACCCACTGAAATGGAAACACAGCAACAAATGGACCCAGGTAAGTGGTTTCAGTATTTGCTTTCTTTTTAAAGGCTGTGGAGAGAAGGTGACAAGAGGCAGAAGTTTCGGGACTGAGAAGGTGCAGGGCAGTGGCAGTGGAGGTCAAGGACACCACAAGGGATGAAGCGAAAGGTTTCAGGGCCCCTGTCCCTGCAGCGCTCTGGGACAGTTCTGCTAAATCTTCAGTCGTGTTAGACCTCCTCCTCTGATTTCCTTCGAACAAACCCCTCACGTTAACTTCCCAAACCTGCAAATCTTCAAGGAAGTAAGTGAGTAACATATAGTTGGGTGGATTAGATCTATAACAATTTTTTAAACAAAATCCCAATACCTGTGTCATGAGAATGACTGACTTTTTTAAACACACTCTGTTGCTAAGGTACTAATACACAGGTAGGGCTGACTGTCGCTGATGGCCACAGGCCGACCGAGCTAGAAAGGGAAGCACAGGATTCACCGGGGGCTCCATAATCCTTCAACCTCCTGGGGGGTCACCGCCATCAGGGCAGGAGAGGCCATTCCTTTCTGACACTACATGGAAGGGCGCCCCCCTTTAAACACAAAGCTGCTCCCTGGTAGCCCTGGAGCTGTGTGTCTGCCCGAAGTTGGGAAGGTACGGGTAGAGTTTGTTCCTGACACAGGCAAGGACTCCTTTTGTGACAAGCAGGATTGGCCTGGGTGGTCAAGTGGGTCGATGTCACTCCACAATTAAAAAGAAAACTTTCTCTGCGTAGTGCCTCACCGGTACACATCAGAATTGCCCAGGAACTCGCTAACCCCAGGCCTATGCAATCAGAAACTCTGGGCATGGGGTCACATCCGTATTTTAACCAGTCCTCAAGGTGGTCGTGCTACACGCTGCTGCCTCGCAGCACCAAGCACACGGTCTGACCCTCGCTGGCTGACGTGGCCTCTGGTACCAGCTACCGCCTGTCGTCAGGCTCTGCAGAGGCTAAAAAGCCTTCCCTACATCTCACCCCACACTGCTCTCTGCTTCCCTTACCCCACACCCTCTTACTGCCTTGTCTTTCCTTCCCAGCTTTTCTACTGGCAGCGCTGAAACCCCAACACAGGCGAAACAAACGCTCCCGCATCTCCAAGCCCTGCACAGAATGCTCACTCCTACTGCTGAATCTCAACCAGGCTCAGTCCCCAGAGCCCTCCCGCAGGGCCCCCCAAGCCCCCTGGAGCTGGGGAAGGAGGGGGGTCTGTACTCTCCCGCCTCCCTGATCCTGCTTCCAGACCTTTCCACTTCTTGCGATGAAAGCCAGTGGCTGTTCTGAACAGGGAAATGCTTATGATAATTGAAAAAATACATACAATGAGATGCTAAGTTTGAAAATACACACATTACACATATATGTGGAAAAAGCACGGGAAGAAAATACACCAAAATTGTTAATAGTAGCCATCTCTGGACAGTGAGACGATACATGATTTTGATTTGATCTGATCCTTTTCAAAGCATCTGTTTTCGTGACTGCTCTCTTAGCCAACCTCCAACCTACCCCATTCCATCTCCTTCCAGGAGGTAACGTGACACTCCCCTTCCCTCTCTAAGACGTGCTGACTATGCCCACAGCCCTCTGAATGCTTGCGGCTAACAGGAAACTCTTTGGTTGCCCTTGAGCTTCTGCTCCCACCAACTGCCTCTAAGGTTTTACAGGGGTCAGTTGTGTTTATTCTGCAGTCAGTTTACTTAAGTAGCACTTGATGTTATAATAGATAATTTATTTAAACACGAGACTCATGAACTATAACTGTGTAAAGGAAAGGCTGTTTCCATGAAAACTAAGTTGCATGCTTTGAAAGACTCAATTTGAACTGGAAAAAAATGCAACTGTTGGCAACACAAATGTAAAAGATTAGAGAAGCAGAGCATAAAAATCAGGAAAGATTTTGGATGCAGATTGCTTCATCAGATCTTAGTCATACACTTTAAAGAAACCAAAGTATGAAATTATAGGTGAAACTTCAAAGGCATGGTTTTTGCAAGAAAAGTGAGGCAGATCTGAGGGCAGTTGGTGTCCTCTCAAACAAAAGGCCTAGCCTTCCTCCAAAAGTCTGGCAAATAAATGTACTTTATCTGTTTTCATTTAAAATATTATGTATTATTATGATTCCTGCTTTAATCTACTTTTTTTCCCTTCTTTTCTTGCTTCTTAATCAACCCATCCCTACAGAACTATTATTCTGAATTTTTACGAGCAGGAGAAGGAAAAACCCCAAGCCATCAATGTTTAATGGTATTCTTACCTTCCAGTTCATGCTGGGCCAACTGGGAGCTCCCTCCCGGTCAGTGCGGGCCACTCCACTCAGGCAAGTTGGAGAAGGGGCTGGAGCGGCAGGTCTCACTGTCCTGGTGGGGAAGAGAAGCAGCAGGTCAGCGTGGGCTTTCTAGAGCAGACCACCTTAGGAAGACTTCTCTTGCACGGAGAGAAGGCCCATGAACAAAGACGGCAAGCTCTGCAGAGACGAGGGTAAGCGTCCCCAACAAGGGGACCAGAGCCTGCTGGAAAGCAGAAGGCCTGGGTGAGGGTCGAGACAGCCTTGGCTCTTGCTGAGCGGGTGGATGCCCTTGGCAGCTCTTCACTAGGCAAGAGAGCACGGCCAAGCGCAGGTGGCGGCGCTGCTCCCGAGGGGACGCAGGCTCCCATTCCATTCATCTGTGGATGGAGGAGCCCAGGTCCAGAATCTGTTGCTCCTCCCACCCCCTGCCTTGAACGAGAGCTGGTCTATGGATGAGTGTCATTTTATTTCTCAGGTCCTCTGAGTGTTAATTCAGGTAATCTTGGGTTTTTTTAAAAAATATCTGGAGGGAAGGGAATCAGTGATGAGGCAAAACAATATCCTAAGAAAGCCATTCCAACCTAGAATTCCCTCTAACACGAGCGGGAGACCTAGGGGAAGGTGAGGCAGGAAGTGACAAGGCAGGGACAGGGCTGGAGCACAGGGTTTGCTCTGAGGCCTCCTGCATCACTATTTTTAGAATATGACACATACCCCAAGAGTCAGAAGACTTGAGCTCTGGATGAAGAGCCTACACACTCTGGTAAGTGACTTCCCTCTGGGGGCCTCCGTCCCATCTGCAAATGAAGATGGGGGTGTCAACTAGATGGGTCTGGGGCCCCTACTTTTTTTGCAGTTCTGCGACTTCCAGCATAATAGTCACAGCTTCGCTTTATTGTGCCCGGCTGTGCTGAAGTGCACTACATGCGTTCACTCAGCTAGTCTTCACACCAGCCCCATGAGGTGCAGTTTACCGTCTACACTTTGGAGATGAGGAAACAAAGTTTCTGTGACACGTCCAGAGTCACGGTGGGGACTGAGATTCGAACACATCCAGTGCGGCTCCAGAGTCTTATCCTAATGCAGACAGAGAGCTTTGCGGTAAAAAATCATAGGGATGATTCTCTTTAAATGTACTTACAATTAGAATCAAGAAAGCAGAAAATTTCACAGGCCTTTAGAATGGGGCTGATGAGCTAAACTTCAGGGAAGATGGTTTTTAAAACTTTCACTTACAAAAACATCTAAATAGAAAAAGTTCAGACCTCATTTACTCAAGGTCATAGTATCTTGAAAACAAGCTGGCAGTTGGCACAAGATAGCCAAGTTTTCCCCGTGACTTTTTCAAAGTCAGATAAGCTAACAACAGGAATTTACACCATAAATCTGTTTACATGCGATGACCATGACTGAAGGTGCGCATTACCTTCACGTATAAATGGCCTGTTTGTCTTTAAGTAGCAGCAGATTCTGCCCTGCACTGGAGAAATATGTTCCTACCAGCTTATAACCTGTTGCTGGAATTTTCACTTTGAATAATCTCTAATAATCTCAGGAATCAGCCATGTTGTAAATTAAAATGTTTAAGGTTGTGCAAATTTTATTTTTACAACTCCTGCTTTTACTGAGTTGTCTGCAGATATAATTAGACAGGTTTGGCTGTTCCCCACACATTTTCTGAGCCCAAATTACATACTCAGTGAATTGAAGTAGGTAAGATATTAATTCCCAAGGTCAATGACCACGAGTAGGTCCAAAAAGGTTATGGGGGAAATAAAAAGAATGCCCGGTGGTCTGGCTCTCTGGTAAACATGTAACTATGTTTACTAGCGGTGTGACCTTGGATGAGTCACTGGGCCTCTCTAAGCCTCAGCTCCCTTGTCTGTAAATTCTCCTTCAAAGATTGGATCATGAACACTAAGCACCATGTTCAGCACATGAAAAGCACTGAACAAATTATCAACCATAACTGTTATGATAAATACCTCTTTCCACTAATGGACATGTCAAGCTGCAGAACATAATAAGCAAGTGGCATCCAGGGCAAAGTGAGACAGCAGGGTATGGTATAAAGAACCACCACTGGGCAACCAGGAGAACTGGAGATCTGGACTCTATTCTTGGTGGCACCAATGGCAAGGCATGTGACCTGGGGCAAGCCATTAGCCTCTCTAAACCAAAGTGTTATCATTTTAAAAACCAGAATCCAAAAGAACAACGCTGCAACACTGAAATGCCTAAGTCACCACTCTCTCTGATATCACAGAATCTGACTAAAAATATACTGGCAGCTGCCTCAACATCATATCTAGAGTGATAAAATTCAATCTCCTTAGGAAAGAAACATATTTAAAGTCCATCTGCAAAGCACTGGAAGGAGTGCATTGAGGGTCGAAGATGAGAGGGCAAATCAATCAAACTCATCCCCACCCACTGCCTCCAAATGATAACTTTTCTCCATCTCCCTTAAATTACAGGCTCCAACTCAGCCATTTTTGTAGCACCCTGCAGGACTTCAGCAAATGAGAACAACTGAGAAAGCTAAAAATATCATCAGGCTATTTGCTCTGCTGCCATATGTACACCTGATGCAATATTAGAACCAGGAAGCAGCTGGCATCTGAGGGCTGAACTGCAAAAGCCAACAAGACCGGGACAATTTTGAGAGGCATAAAATCTGTGAAGTGCAGGAAGTTTTAAGCTTCCCCTGGAACTATCCACCGTCTTAGCTTAAAACCCAAAAATAACAATGGCTTAAGAAGAAATAGTTCTCTTTCCTTCACTGCAAAAATATCCTGATTTCTCCTTTGCCAGATTTCTCCTAAAAAACAGAAGAGCCAGTGGCTTATTTTGATTAGGCCAATTACAGCAATACGGACAATGTGTAGTCCACAATTTTCTTCTCGGCACACCTAACACACCCAAGGGTCGGTCTGTCTCTGGGTGTCTCCTTCCAGTCACTCATTAGGCTGTGTCCTTAGTTTGAATTGTCCGAAGCTGTTCTCATTCCCCATCTCTACCGTTTTCACCCCAACCCTTCACCCAGTCATCTGAAGCAGAGGTAGGTACGGGGAGGAGGGTTCCAGTTGAACCTTGGGTATCACTTGGTCGACCTCTGAGCCCCACGCCCGGGTCGGCCGGGGTTCCCAGGGCGACGGGCTGAGCCTCGGCTCCTCCGTAGCCGGAGGGCCGGCAGGGTCCGCTACAGCCGCGATACCTGGGAGCAACGCCTACCCCGCTCAGACCCGAGGATGAGGACCAAGGGCGACCACTGCTTCCCCCTCCCCCCGCGCCATTCTACAGAACATTCCAGGGCATTCGCTCGCCCCCAAATCTCTCTGGCGGGAACCACCTCTGGGTCCCCGCCTCGGCCTGCGTGCCAGCCTCAACACACCGCCCCCGGCGCCGGATCCGCAGATTTCGCGGCGCCTGGACAACCTAGCCAGGCAGGACGCTCTGCGGGGGGCTGGCGGGAGGGAACGTGACCGCTGTCAACCCCGCGGTCCCCGGGGTCCCGCTGGAGAGCGTCCTGCAGAGAAAGTGCAAAAGCGGGGCGGGCCGCCGAACTCCACAGCGCCCCCAAAGAGCTGCCGGGTCTCGGGTCAGGATTCGGCCGACACGGACACCATCCACTTACAACTCCAGGCCGCGGAAGATCCAGCTCGCCGCCGGCACACGAACCACGACTCCCACAATGCCGCGAGGAAACTACATGTCCCAAAATGCACCGCTCCGCGCGCCGGCGCAGTGGGCTCCGGCCGTCTCGGAGGGTGCGCCGCTGCTCGCGCTGGCGCAGTGGGCCCGGGCCGTCTGGGTGGGTACGCCGCTCGTCGCGCATGCGTTTTGGGCCGGACGGCCTTCGTGGGGACGTGACGTGGGTCACCGGGTGGAATCGGCCTGGCCCCGGGCAGGTTCTCGTTCTGAGCTTACCTGAGGTGGAAGACGGCGGTCGGAGGGCGGGCGTCGCGGGGGTCCTGCCGCTCAGCCGTCTCGCATCCCTGGACGCTCCTCGCTGTGTGCGACTGAGGGCACGTGGCTCCCCAGAAGTTTCCAAATTTAGCGTTCATGTTCTCTGCCCAAAATGCGTATGTTCTCCCTTGGGATAGCAGTAGGGTGCCCGGTACTAGGTTCCCAGATTCCTTCATTAAACAAGCGCTTAGAAAACCGGAGCGGAGTTTGAGTCCACTCAGTCCCTGCCGCACGGGAGGGCGCAGACTGGACACGCTCCCCCCCCCCCCAATTCAAGGAAAACGAGGGGGGGGTTCACAGACTTTTTATTTTTTTTTTTTTTTTTTTTTTTTTTT